TTTGATGGTCTTCATCAAAATTTCTTCCCAAAATCAACCCCTTGATGGTAGGGCAAATCCAATCAGCTTTAACCTGGGAAAACACCGGGGAGAACGCAGCCCGTCCTATGAACTTCCTTTTCCTTTTGTTTTTTCACAATCCGTTTCTATCTTTACTTGCATTATAGAAGAAAAAAAAACTAATAAAAACATTGTAGCTTGTGAGAGGTTCATTGGACGTTCAAACAATGATTTCCTTTTTATTGATTGTTTTAAAATAATTAGCATTTCAAGATTGAATTTAAAGCTTAAATAGATATTTGGTGCCTTTATTGGCAATATTAAAGATTGATTTGCATGATAAGAGAAAAAAATATTTTTTTTTTAGTTCCTCAACTTTTTGTTTTAATTTTATTTCTTTGCATTGATTTTGTTGGAGATTTATTTTGGTGGTTTGTTTTAGTTATCCTGATACGAGTATCTTGCAATATCAGTGAATTTTTTTGTGTTTATTTTAGTAAAATAAAATAAAATTTCATTGATTTTAAATAATTAAATATTAAAAAATCAAATTAAAATTAAAATAAATACAAGAATTATGGTAAACTTGTATGAAAAACAGGTTGGTGCGAGCTATCCAGGGTGTTTGAGTGGTGCACAAAGTATTTTTCATCAACAAAATAGTGACTTTATGGTGATGTTAGAAATCACGTGCCGCATTTTTCTTAATGGTTCGGAACATGTCAGTGGAGGCGCTGCTTGGGTTTTGACAAGCTTTTTTTTTTTCTATTCTTTATTTTTTCCTCGAGAATCACAATGACCAATTAGAATTAAATGTTATCTTAACATTGTTTTCTCATCACTTTTTAATTTGATTTATTTTTATTATTATTTCTTAACATTTGATCGGATAAGAATTGAGATTCGAATGTTTTTATTTTTATTTTTTATAGAATTATTATATTTTTATTTAATTTTTATTTTATTATAGAATATTAAGATGAAGTATTTTTTTAGTTGATCATTATATATTTTTCCTGGTTTAGTTTATTTAATGTCATTGTTTTTTAATTATATTATTAAATTAATTGTGATTATTAAATTAAGTTGAGTCAATCACTCAAGTCTTATTTTTTATTTTATTTTTAATTATTAACATCATCTCAACATTCCTTTTATAATAAGAAAAATTGGGTTCAACTTGCAGCATAACTTGAACCACACTAATCTAGTCTATACATCCTGCGATAATCCTTTTTTAATTAAAAAAACTGCTAAAAATAGGGAAATCCAGGTTTGTTTTTTGGGTACGCTGTGCCAAAAAAAAAACTCCAATTAAGAGAGACACCCAGGGAATCCTTATATAATAAATTAAGTGGTTACTGCTTGTAGGAGTCAAAGGACGAGCAGCAAGAATGGGTGTGGATCCGACGTGGATTGCCAGAGTTAAGCCTATCCGAAACCGAAGTGGTGGCTTCATAACTAGGATAGATACATGTCTGACTTCGATTAAATATATCACTGGTTTAACAACCAACCCCCGACCCGATAAGAGGACCTATACGTGGCAAGGGACTCCTCGGGAGCTCTTTTTGACCTTAATTAATTAACTGTTCAAGCGCGGCAGGTGCGCGGCACCTAAAATTCTAAAACCTACAAATTAAAAATAAAACAAATCTTGCTTCACTAAGAAGAATAGAAAAATTAAATTTTCAGTGGGGAGCTTGAAGGCGTTGTTTGGTTTTCTGGTAAAATTATGTTTCTATTTTTTAAAATTTTCAAGTTTTAAATTAATTTTTTAGTATTTTTATATTATTTTGATGTGTTAATTTAAAAAATATAAATTATTTTTCTAAATAAAAAACATTTTAGAAAATAATTTCTAATATATCCAGAATCTCATGACAGGTACTTAGATGAAAATTTTCAACCTTTGGACCCCTTTGGCATCCGTTGAAATTGCTTTCGGTATCCGTGGCAAATCACCATTAGCGAAGGGTTAAAATACCCCCATGTTTGGATGCTGTGTACCTTGCAGTTAAAACTTTGTGGTTTGAAATTATGTTTGATTATGTTTTAAAAGTGTTTAATAAAAATAATATTAAAATAATATTTTTTTGTTTTTGTATAATTTTTATATATCGATATTAAAAAAATCTAAAAAATATTTAAATATATTTTTGAATAAAAATCACTTAAAAACAATATCTCACGCCACACACAGATAAACACAAATTATTCCATGTCATTTAATGTCACAATGACCACACGTTCCCGTAAATTTTTCTTCCCTTGAAAAAAAAACATGACCATCTCTGGTCAGCAAAAATAAGTTCTATCTAACATTTTCCAGTTTTGTTTTAATCATCAGGCGCTGAAACCAAGGTGTGCTGTCTCCGGGTTCTTGTCTGGTGGCTTTCATCGGACGGTGTTTAGTGTTGTGATTGCATTATATATATTTTAAAAAAATTAATTTTTTAATTTAAAATTAATTTTTATTATTTTGACATGGTGTTGTTAAAAATAAATTTTTAAAAATAAAATATATATATTATTTTAATATATTAAAAAAAGCACTTTTAAAAATCATTTTTATCACATTCTTAAACAATTTTTTATTAAGCTAAACCTTCAACATTAGTTATTATTTCTTTTTCATTGAAAACTGCAGAGATTTTTTTAATTGAAAAACAGGTACATATATGATCACAGGATATGAACATCAATTTCGTCACGTTATAGCAAAACAAAACTGACGATTTTAGGATACATGGCTGTTAAACCAAATCTGTTTATTTTATTTAAAAATAACTTAATTTATTCTATCTTTAAGAACTTGATTTGATTAATAAATCAATATATTTTTTATGTCATCATGCGAAACTCAAATATAAAGAAGATTGTAATTTTTTTTGAATTACGAGTGTATCAATTTATCTACTAGTAATCTATTTAAAGCTAAACTCGTAATTAAGAAAAAAAGGTTGAATCTAAATTTCGAAAATGTGTTATTGGATGCGCTAATCCCAAAAAGAAGGGTTAACTTAAGAAATATGTTGCTTAAAAAAAAACAGGAAAAAAAAAGAAATTGAAGAATAGTAGGTGGGCTGAAACTCATTGGGCTTGGCCACTCGTAAAATACAAGGTATGATGCATCGTTGACGGTGGCTCTTTAAGTCTTTTATAGATAGGGATGATGCATCCCTTTAATGATTATTTTTAACTTTATTCGGTTTTTATTTAAAAAAATAATTAAATTGAATTTAAAAAAATTAAAATCAATTTAAATCGGTCAATTTAAGTTTGATTCGGTTTTTAAAATAAAACACGTTCAAATTGATTTGATTTAATTTTTTTATTTGGCTTGATTTTTTCTGGTTTTGGCTATAATTTTTCTTTTTAGCTAGATTTTTTTTTATTTGGCTCTGTTTTTTAGATTTTTTTTTTAATTTGAGTTCGGTTCAGTTTTTTTTTTCAGGCTTATAAAACCAAAATCGACCAGTTTAAGTATATGTTCGGTTCGGTTTGATTTTTTATTTTTAAGTTTATAAAACTAAAACCAAACCGATCATTTTTTTTAAAATTTTAATCAATTTTTTTCATTGTTTTTTTGTTATTTTTATTATTTTCTTGATTTAATCAGTTTTTTATTTTTTTCACCTCTAATAACAAACATTTTTTTTTAAAAAAAATATTTTTTTAATATTAAAATTAAAAAATATTATTTTAATATATTTTAAAACAAAAAATAATTATTATTATAATAAAAAATAATATGTTAAAAAAATCAAAATTCATCTGCGCCAGCGTGCGCATGGTCAAGTAGATGATAGCTTTTTATTTAGAATTTTTATAAAGTAAGGAGAGGAGGTCTTGAGAGGGCAGAAATCAAGGGTTTGACATGTTCTGAGCAAGCCATCAATTAATATTTAAAAATACTGATTAGAAGTTTATGTGCTTTTTATCCGCAGATTACGCTATAATATGACATGGAAATGGAAAGCCTTTAAAAAAGAAAAAAACAAATAAATTTATCTGATTAAGAATGTCATGTTTCCAAGTCATGGTGATATTTAAATCATATGATCATTTCTCATCAGCCGCTCGTTCACGCAAAGCTTGTGATTAGTTTACATCCATCGCATGTGCAGATCAAAAAAGCACACCCAGTGGATTAATATTTCCTAGGAAAGTTTTTGCATGTAAAAATGTAAAAATTAAGTTTATCTTTCAAATTTAATTGAAAATAAGTCATTCAACTTCAAATTTAAAATTCATAAAATCTCAATCTTTAAAATTTAGATGAATACGTATTCCTTGATAAATCCTTAAACTAAAAAGGTTATTTTAAAATGTAATTAAAACTGTATTTTAAAAAATTTAAATTTGTTTGATTTAAAAATATAATTTTTATAATTTTTAATTATTCTAATATGTTGATATTAAAATTGATTTTAAAAAATAAAAAATATATATTATTTTAATATATTTTAAATAAAAATACTTTAAAAAATAATCACTAACACATTCTCAAACATTCAAAGATAAACACAAAAATATAAAATAAAATTATTTTTCCATGATATAAATATTATTTGGAAATTACAATATTAACCCTATGAAATTTCTCCATCCGACAATCATAGCCACATTCTCATGTGGCCAGTGTTGAACATCCATGATAGGACTGATTTTATTGCTTTACAAGGAGGACATGTGTGACCATATGCCATTTTCATGACAGCTTCCAAACACCCTGATCCATACTCACAACATGTCCTAGCATATTATTTTAAAAGCGTGATTAAGAGTGGGTATTGTTATTTTTTATTTAAAAAAATATATTAATAATATTTTTTAATTTTTAAAAATTATTTTTAAAATCAACGTATGAAAATGATTTAAAAATATTAAAAATATATTAATTTTTTTAAAAAATTAATTTTTCCCAGAAATGCTTTTCAAACATAATCCCAAACTCCCACTAATTCGACTTTGGATTTTTCCAGTTTATTAGTCGCTATTGCAGCATAAACTTAACTGTCTAAGGCTCTTAACTATGGTTAGCTAAACCCTGGTTAAGTTGGCCTTTTATAAGAGGATTAGCCAGTGCATTTGGAGATCATACTTGCCTGGATCCCGCCTCTTTCACCTTGCGTTAGAAACAGAAAAATCTGACACTTGGTACCTGTTTGTGAGTGACAATTCTCCTTCCTTCCTCTGTTCGTTTCAAGAAATTTCCCTGCCATCATCCTTATCCTTGTCAGCTAATTTTTAGCATTTCAATGTTTTCTTTTTTGTTCTTATCCTGATCAGTTAGTTTTTCAGCTCGAAACTTTCTTGTTCCCTCTGCAAGGGGTATTCAATATTCAATTATAGCATAAAATCTTAAAGCTGTGACTTTTTGCAGATCGCATATAGAAGAAGAAGAAGATGGACAACAAGGCACCTGACAATGGAGAGTTTAGCTTTGCTAGCAGTACTCCTAGGAGTACTGGACGGAAAGGGCTGCCTAAAATCCAGACACAAGATCATAACAAGAAGGCAAACGACGTGTGTCATGATGACAGTGGAACACCAGTGAAAGCCAAAACGATCGATGAACTCCATTCTCTACAGAGGAAAAAATCAGCACCCACCACTCCCATCAAGGGAGCTCAGGGTGCTTTCAATGCTATCTCTGAAGAAGAACGCCAGAAACAGCAACTCCAGTCCATCAGGTGATCAGATTATAGTATTCATAGATTAATTACGATTTTGATTTGGTTATTGTGTTGTCAATTCTTTATGATTTCTTTTCTATGTTGTTGCCTTTTACAGTGCTTCCTTGGCATCACTGATGAGAGAGACAGGGCCAAAGTTAGTGAAAGGGGACCCGGCAAGGAAGGGAGAGGGGCAACAAATTGCCCATCATCATCATTATACGCCCACCATCAGCGCTAGTGACAGTTCTCTAAAGTTTACCCATTACCTCTACAATCTTTCTCCTGCTGGTATAATTAATCAAACCTTCCTTGAGATTTCACTCTGTCTATTTAGTTCCACTCTCTCTTGCATGCTCCTTGGACGAATTTATCAGACTGTCTATATGAACCGTCTCCTCGTGGTGCAGAACTCTATGAACAAGCAATTAAGTACGAGAAAGGTTCATTCATAGCATCATCTGGCGCCTTAGCTACACTTTCCGGGGCAAAAACAGGCAGGTCACCTAGAGATAAACGTGTTGTCAGGGATGAAACCACCGAAGATGATCTTTGGTGGGGAAAGTAAGTCTCTTCAAATGAATTTTTTGCTGCTATTAATTAATTATCTAGATCCCTTTACATTAGTTTAGTCCTTAATTCTGATTCACCAATTTCCTTTGCAGGGGCTCGCCTAATATTGAAATGGATGAACATACTTTCATGGTTAACAGAGAAAGAGCTGTCGATTATTTGAACTCGCTGGACAAGGTATATATATTGATAATTGATCGCTTAAAGTTGAGCTCTCTCTGCTTTTATGGTTATTCAAATTAATCCATCTGTGAAAAACAAGTCTAATTAATTATTTGTCACTTGCTAGAGCTTAAGCCTTTCTCTAGCGTTTGAAAAAGCGCCCAAATGTTTTTTTTGCAAGATTTATTTTTTATATATAAAATTATTATTTTATATATTTTTAGGTAATGATATAAAAATAAATTTAAAAAATAAAAAATATTATTTAAATATATTGGCAAATAAAAAATACTTTAAAAATCAATAATTACGACAATAACAAACCCCACCTTAAGTGATTAGCCCCTGCTTGACTTATTAACAATTGGTCGCTTGTCAGTTACAACTTCGTATTGTTTAGATGGTCTTCGTATTTCATGGGAGACAGGTCCTAACTTGCTGGCAATAACAACTGAAACATTATACAATACAGTATTAACCAGTAACTAATTAGTAATTAATTTTAGTCTAATCTCACAAATATCACCATTTCTTTCTACGTCTTTGTTACTAAATTCATTTTTTTTTTTAAAAATGTTTTCTTGCCGCCGCCATAACAGTTCTGTTCTTGAATGTTAAATAGTGTAATCCACAATGATGATAATAGTAGCTTCATAGTGTTGCTTATGGCCCACTTCTTTATTGTCTCTTGAAAAAGAAAAACTAAACGACATCACTAAAACACTGTGACACCGGAATGAAAATTCTGTGGATTCGTAATTTCATTTATTTTTTATTTTTAAAAAAATTATTTATTTTTTAGATCGATTAAATCAACAAGATAATATTAAATCAACTATTAAATAATTTAATCAACTACTAAATAATTTAATTTAAAATTTAAATTAATTTAGGATTTGAATCGGAAAATTTCAATTATAACTATCTAATTACAATAATTTTAAAGAACTTTCCACGATAAAGCATAAGCATTATTTTATTATTATAGTTTTTTAATACACTTATATTAAAATTATTAGAGTGTTGTTTTATAATTTTTTTTTAAATAATGATACAATGTTGTCAAAGAAGGAATTTTAGTTAGAGAGGTATCTCTTTCATATTTATTTTAAATAGACGTGATTTTTTTGGGTATGTTTTTTGAATGATTTTAATTTTTATTAAATAAATAATATAGAAAAAATTATTAGGCTTTTTAAATTAAAGATATTAATAAGAAAAAGGAAGACCTTTATTAACAAATTATTTTTGTTTTAATGGAATTTAAAAGTATTACTTTTCTTATATAAAATATTAGTTCCATATTATTAAGTTAAAAAAACTAAAAAGCTTTTAGCGGCACATAATCAAGTATCTTTATTTGTGCTTGTTTTTAACCTTACGACTTGGCCTTTAAGTACCTTTAAAATCTCTTGGCATACTTAAACCCTGATTTACTTCCTTAAATGAATGCATCATATTTTGAGTAGATAATTAAAAAATTTCTTGCTGTATGAAAAATCTATAACAATGCCGAACTTTTTTTTACGTTAAGAAGTTAACAAAAAAAAAGAAGAAGCTAAGAGCTTTGCGTAGCACAAGCTAATTAAGAAAGAATCCATATAGCGGCATGGCCTTGGCCTGTCTCTATATGTTTCCACGAATCTTATGCTTCCCGGGTCCCAAGATTACAGATTAGAGATCTGCAGACTGCCCAAACCTTCTTTCTGGCTGTCTTGCAATTGAATCGTAACCTTTACGTCTTAACATGAGCCAAGCAGTCGTGCCCTCTTTTTGTCCATGTTTTCTTTTTGACATGGCCCCGGGTGCAACTTGTAAGGTTTGTGTGAGTTGGGACCGGGTGCTAAGATATACCTGAGCTTGGATTTTTTTTGGTCTGTTGTGGCTAATCCAGGCCTTTTCACTTCCACGACTGGTGTCCACAGGCTGGTCGTGGAAGATCCCACAAGATTGATTTGAATGTGGTGTCTATGTAAAGTAAGAGTTGCTGATGAGTGGTTATAACTAACAAGCACTAGATTCTAAATGATATTCAATGCACGAGGTCTTCCATCTCAATCCAAAGTTCTTTCCTTCAGGACATTTGAGGGTCTTTTGCATGCTCCTCTGAACTGATTGAACTTGTCAAGCTGTGCTACTTTGGTTCATGTCTATTTGTTTCTGCCAAGGAATTGGTAGTATAAACGTAACAACTAGTTTGGAACACGAAGGCTTGATAGTTGATAATTCATTCGAGTAACTATCAAGGAGTCACTTAGAAAATATACAACAGAAATATAATTGGCATGAAGGGTCCTCTGATGTAACTGTTTTTGCTGTACTGTCTTCTACTTTGAGGTTTTTCCATAGACAGAAAGGATCCCAGGCTTCTTAATTCGTGGTAAAAATAAATGATTGACATTTTGATTGCCATCTGATTTGTATCTGAGCTACTCAGCAATACATATGACTATCCAGTAGTCTTTTCATCCTTCAAGAAAAAAAAAATCTTTTACGTTTTGTGGTGATTTGTTAACTGACGTGAGAGTGACAATGGTAAACCTGCATTTCAGGTCTTTGTAAATGACCAGTTCCTGAATTGGGACCCTGAACACAGAATTAAAGTCCGTATCGTTTCAGCCAGGGCTTACCATTCCTTGTTCATGCACAACATGTAAGTGATGAGGCAAAAACTACCTAGTCATTTTAACAATTTGTCTCCCTATCTTTCATATGCTTTGAATTTTAGGTAATTTTCCATGCATTGTTACCTAGACATGTTAGCTGTTCCTAGCTTAGAGTGCATTGACGGTGCAAAATTATGTGCTTCCAATTGTTCATCCTTATTTAAAAAAGTTAGGCAAGTGTGACAAGAGATGCGATGATGTGTTAGTTTAGTTTATTTTCGATAATTGGGTGGGTTACAGGTGTATCCGACCCACTCCTGAAGAGCTAGAGAACTTCGGGACTCCGGACTTCACTATATACAACGCCGGTCAGTTCCCATGTAACCGTTACACCCATTACATGACTTCTTCTACTAGCATAGACATCAATCTTGCTAGGAAGGAGATGGTCATCCTTGGCACCCAATATGCTGGGGAAATGAAGAAGGGTCTATTCGGGGTAATGCATTATCTCATGCCTAAACGTCAAATCCTCTCCCTTCACTCTGGCTGCAATATGGGGAAAGATGGGGATGTTGCCCTCTTCTTTGGATTATCAGGTACAGTTAACTTGGAACTTAACCATGCAACATGGAGCAATCAACTGCCTACTGATATGTGCCTCGTAAGATCTCCACATGATACTCGTTTCTATTACAAATTGTTGCTAACAATTCTCCCTTTGGTTTTGTTTGTCACAGGCACCGGGAAGACAACTCTGTCCACAGATCATAATAGGTATTTAATTGGAGATGACGAACATTGCTGGAGTGAGAATGGTGTGTCAAACATAGAAGGCGGTTGCTATGCCAAGTGCATTGATCTCTCTCGAGAGAAGGAGCCCGATATTTGGAATGCCATCAAGTTTGGGACTGGTAATATATATGTATATGTATACTGATCCGTCTTCCAATTCCTTGTTTTGAGAAAATGCCAACAAGTTTTATTCTCTATTATGGATAACATCAAATGAGAACTTGTGATGTGGAAGCGCTTCACTTCAGCAAGCACGTGATATTGTTCTCCCTTTTTAAGTAATTTCCATTTGGTTGTACTGATTATAGCTAATAAGAATATTGCCTATATGTGGTAGTATTGGAGAATGTGGTGTTTGATGAGCATACTCGAGAAGTGGATTACATGGACAGCTCAGTTACAGGTAATAATAAATCAACGTATATTTGATTGAGCTGAAATAAGATGTCTATACCACTCGTATGTGCATATCAAAAGGATTTTTGTAAAATTAAAAATCTCCTCTATTGGGCTGCTAACTCAGCTCTTCTTGCAAACTCACCTTGATACATGCTAAGCTGGTTTTTCTGGTTGCAGAAAACACACGAGCAGCATATCCTATTGATTACATTCCAAATGCTAAGATACCGTGCGTTGGTCCCCATCCGAAGAACATCATTCTACTGGCATGTGATGCATTTGGCGTGCTCCCACCTGTGAGCAAGCTGAGCTTGGCACAGACCATGTATCACTTCATCAGTGGTTATACAGCTCTGGTAATCATAAACTTGTCCCATCTTCAATCCGATCCCAGATTGATCTGCAATAGATGTTCTACTTCCCTCTTCAACTTGACAAGGTCAATTAGACTCCTGGTTCAATAGAGAGACTTGATTAGTAATTATCTCAACTCCTAAACAGGTAGCCGGGACGGAGGATGGTATAAAGGAGCCGCAGGCAACATTTTCAGCCTGCTTCGGTGCAGCATTTATAATGATGCATCCTACCAAGTATGCGGCCATGCTGTCTGAAAAGATGCAGAAACATGGGGCTACAGGATGGCTTGTCAATACCGGTTGGTCAGGTGGAAGGTATGCTGCTTGACAATTGACACATTTTATATATCACACATTTCGGTTCAGTGGATAATTTTCCAAGTGTTTGGCAGTTATGGATCCGGAAAACGTATCAAGCTGGCATACACTCGGAGGATCATCGATGCAATCCACTCCGGTAGCCTTTTGAAAGCTAGCTATAAAAAGACTGAAGTTTTTGGTCTCGAAATCCCAACTGAGATTGAGGGCGTGCCTTCAGAAATCTTGGATCCTGTCAACACTGTATGTTGGCTGTCTTTATCCTATTTCTCAACTTATTTCTTAACCCTTCAAACATGTGCCTTCCATTAATGCATGTAATTTTACTTGTAGTGGACGGACAAGAATGCATACAAGGATACCCAGTTGAAGCTGGCTGGTCTTTTCAAGAATAATTTCGAGGTGTTCACAAATTATAAGATTGGAAAGAACAGCATGCTGACGGAGGAGATTCTTGCAGCTGGTCCTAATTACTAGTCGGGTGCTTTCAGATTGGAGAGAGTGAAACTGAAAGGAATAAAACGAGGATAAGCTAAATACATCTCGTAACATATATTATGCCTCTCTTAATATCAACGATTCAATTCGTTTTATTTAGCTTTAATCGAATTGGAGCGCGTTGTGTATGAAGTGGTTTTTTAATGATGTTTCAGACTCTTATATATATATATATATATATATATATAACATCCTTCAATTATGTCATCTTCGTTCGACTACAAATGTATTTTGCTTATGGAATTTTCAATTGTGCTAGAAATTTGACAAATAAGACTTGTCTTTTGCTTATTTCTATTTGTAAAACACAAAAAAGGGAAAATTCTCCGTTGCTTGGATTTCTTGGGAGAGTGTTGGTACAGTTGTTTTTTAAAGAAATATATTAAAATAATTTTTTTTAAATAATAAAAAAATAAAATTTTTAAAAATTCAAGTTGACTCGGTTCAAACAAATTCCAAGTTAGTGCGTGTTCTTTTCGGGGACTGAATTTGTTAGTATCAACAGCACACGCACATCTCAGCTACAACAGCTCTTATTGAGAAATTCCCGTGGTTACTTCCATGCCAAAAGCACTGTTCGAAAACAATTCACTTCTATCTTTGACAATTCTCTCGTCCCAGGCTTAACTCCAGTGCCTGAAAAGTGAAAACTTCGGAAAACTCAGGGATGTGAAGTCGTTAAGAATTGGTTGGTGTTAGGAGCTGGGCACTTTGCCACGTGGATTGACAAGGTTAACATCTCTAGAGATTTTGGAGATTATTGAGTGTCCTAGTTTAGCCTCCTTGCCACAGGAAATCCTAGAAGGAATGAGCTCGCTCCGACCACTCTCTATTGAGAATTGTCACAGCTTAACTTTGCTACAGCTCTTGAGCGCCTATCTATTATTCTATTATGTATTGTTCATATCTGGCTTCTCTGCGAAATGACCTGCAACATCTCTCTGCACTTAAAAGTTTGACCATCATAAGCTTATGAACAAAACTAATGGAATTGCCAAACAAAACTAATGGAATTGCCAACATGAGTGGAGAACCTGGATTCACTTCGATCTTTGACAATCCCAGATTGCTATAATATCAAGTCTTTGAGGGAAGGTCTCCAACTTCTCTGTGCACTCCAACAGTGGTCCTGAACTCGAGAAACGGTGTGAGGCGAGCAAGGGAGCGGATTGGCAAAGAATATACCACACCCACATAGTTATGTTGGATCATCAGCATCGCAGCAGAGGCGTGATACTGCAAGCAGCTCTTCTACTTCTTAGGTAAATCTCTTCTAGGTCCTTGCGAGTATAAATTCATTTACAGACAGCACTTTATCATTGAATATTAACAGAACTTGTTTTGTGCCGTGACGTGGTAGATCTTAGACCAAGGAACTGAGAATGGATGTCTTTATCCAAAGCATCAGGATAACTGTGGCCGAAGAGACTCCCCCTCATTTATGCCAGTGATCCTTGCTTCATGTATATTCTGTTTCCCGTAGTCTGCATTGAAATAAGGTGGGAGATATGCTCTGGGAAAGGAACTGGGATTGTTGCAATTTGCAAGTTAAAAGGGCTTGCAGTGCGCGCATTGCTTCTTCTGAGGCTTTAACGCCACATTTTCTTTTCATCTTAACATATTTTATGCATAACTAAATCAACCTGTCTGGTCTTCAACTCACCGCATGAACACACTCACGGATTGAATTAATTCCAAGTCTCCAATTACAGTATTGGATTTTTCCTCTATTTACTCCTAAGAGGCTTTTATCGTCATGTTTATGGCATGCTTCTGCTGGCATGATGAACCAATTACCAAGCTGAACGACAAGCTACGATGAACCAAAGTACAATCAGCAACAAACTGCTGCAATTGTTGTCAGGGAGCTTCGAGGAAAGAAAGGGTTCCTCTAACAAGCTTGAGATAAGGTACACAATTTTTCCAAGAGAGAACTTTTTAATCCCTAACAAATTTGTTTTTAATAAAACAGAAGCTAATATTTTGCAAGAAGGACAGGAGCACATAAATAAATCCCAAAAAAATGTATCTGAGATTCAATAAAGAAACAGCTCATGGTATCATTAAGCTATCAAAAGTACACACACAAAATTGACATAAATGGGGAATATTATCATTATGTATCTGCATTTTGAAACTAAGAGTTACAAAATTCAAGTCTATGCATCCAAACCAATAGAAATTGCAATCTCAGCAGATGGATTTCACACTCCTCAAAGTTGTACATTTATGATTTAATGCTTATTCTCTATGACCAAGTCAAGAAATCTGGCACTAGATACTTTTACAGCTGGAATGGTTCATTGAATAACTAAGACTCACTGGTTGAGGTTGCATCATCTTTGTGCTTAATCATACCAGAATCCACAAGGACTGGGACCTCGGCCGCAAGCCATGGAGCAAGACCCAAACAAAGTGCATGTGCTATGCCAAACCTAGGACTGACCACCCAGGAGCAAAATTCAAAATATTTTATCAGTTCATAATTCCGCTAAATGGAAAGGATAAAAAAGAAATTATAAGGTGAGATTGGATGAAAGCTAGTGAGATAAAATGTAATTCAAGAAGCAGAACAGTATCAGCAACATAAAAAGTTCCAAGAGATAAATCCATTTTTGACCAAATATGGGAATGCCCACCTCTGAAAATCAATATTATCTCATGCCAATTCATACATAATGTAACATTACAACATTAATGTTCAGAGTCCCTAAAGAAGACCAACCACCACAAAACAGACAGCCAGGGGCAGTGCAACTACTGAGTCAACAAAGAAAAAAACAGTATATCAAAAGACTCAAAACAACAAAACTCCTCGTAAGTCGTAAGAGTCCATGGGAAAATAGCTTAAAAAATGAGAAGAATGGACAAATGAGCTCCGTTAATAAAGAAAAAATAATAATGATAGCCTTAGCAAACTGACTTATTCGACTCCCCGTGCTATTTCTCCAATTTCATTAACAAATGAAAATCCAACTATGAATTGTGCATGTAAAAGTAAAGTTTCCACATTCTAATAATCCCAAATCTTAGCATCTCAACAATACATATTGTTTGATCTCTTCATTCGTTTTCAATTTACAATGATTCTTCAACAAACAGACAAAAAATCTTAATCCACAATATCAAATAAATCAATCAAAGCATCAACCCAGCACTGATTCAATTTAATTAAAACATACCAATTTTTAGCCCAGAGCGGCTTGAAATGAACCGTCAGACAAATCTTCCCTCCTCTATACATCTACAAGCATGATCACAGAAAACAATTTTTTAAAAAAATAAAAAAAATCCAACAAAAAGAAGAGGGAAAAAAGCACAAGAAATCAACCTTCTGCGTTTTTCCATCAAGCTGAGGCAACTCGAGTTCAGGCGCGGTAGAAGGGTAGGTAACAGGAATATCAAACTGAAGATCAAACTCGTACTTGAGGAGATTATGAACGTACCAGCACTTGCCAGTCCAACGTGTCCCTTCAGGATTGGCTGCCGAGATACGAAACCAATCGTTATCGTTTGACTTGTTCATCTGTGTATAGGCGATCAAAGCCTTGTATTCCTCTTTCAGCCTCGTTGTCCATGCAGCTCCATCTCTTGGACCTGCCTTCGTTGTTAACAGCGGGATCTGGGTCAGTGTGGATTTCGTGTTTGGATCCCATCCCTCCATTTTTGTTTTTTTCTAACCCTAACCCCCAATTCCAGATTTTATTTGTTCTTTCTTTCGCTCGTTACGTTTTGAGATGCTTTTCACAAGACAAAAAAAAAACAAGAAGTTTGATATTATAATAGTTATTGTTTATTTAAAATATTTTAAAATTATATTTTTTATTTTTTAAAATTTATTTTTAATATTATTTGAAAATCAAAAAGTTCAGGCTAACCTACGCTAGAGAGATGGGCCCTACGCCTTAGCCCAAAATAAATAAAACTATGCCTGGTGTTCTTGGGTCTAGAAGATGAAGGTGGCGTCAAAGGTTTTTATTAAAAAACAGCGAATGACACGTCATTTATTGTTATGTTTTATAATATGAATGAAAAAAAATATAGATTGGTAAATCACGAAAAAATATTAATTTTAATTACAGATTAAATAGAGAACTTGATTATGTTTATTATAAGAAGTAAAATATTGATGCAAATGTAAAATTTTGACCTGCTAACATGGGTAATTTTTTAATTGAATTACGTGACAATAAAATTAAATATTATTAGGAGATATAATGATTTAAATTCTATTATAAAAAAAATCATCAACATTCTCTTTTCTTATTGATGTATTTTTGTATTAACAGTATGGTTTATTGAATGAAAAATAAAAAAAAATGAAATATAAATTAGAAAACATTCTATTGATTTGAAATAAAAAGTTAAAAATATATCTTTCTTGTCCAAACTTTATTCTCTTATTTATATGTTTCTTTTTCTTTTTCTTCTTTTTATAAAAACATGTATTTTTTAATCTAAAATATTGTTTTAAATTAAAACCTATAAAATTTTTAAAAGAAAGTTTCAATTAAAAAGCACATAATCATAAATTGATAATTTTTAAACGAGATATTAAACAATATAAAATCTAGGAAAAACTATATAAAATTTTGCAATAAAAAATAATTTGATAAATATTCAATCCGTGTTGGATATTCCAGGGGGAAATCTTAAATAGATAAATATACTAAGTTGATATATAATTACTAAAAAAAATAGTTGTTAAGCTCTCATTAAAATTTATAATATTATTTTAAAATTATGGCAAAGTCAATTAATTATTTAAATATTCTACGAATAAATTTATTTTGAGTCAATTATATTATAATATATATATATATAAAACAGGGGCGCTTGGAAAAATGCCTAGCAAGCTGAGGCCGAAGAGATCCACCTCCCTCCGGGCCTGAAGAAAAAAAAAACAAACGGGTGCTCTTGAGCCTGGAAGGTTAAGCTGGTGACTAAGGTCCAAAGACGTGAATGGCACTTCATTCACTCGCGACATTTCTCAACTATCAAAGTTAACTCTGATTTTTAGAAAATCAATGTCCAAATTAGAGACTCTAAAAACCTAAATATTAAAATAATATTTACTAAAAAAAATGAAAACCTCACCATATGAACTCTAAAACACCATTACTAACTATGAAAATATATTTTTATCTGACAGAAAACCTTAAAATCAAAATAATTTAAAAATTATTTTTAAGTCTCGGTTCACCTTTCAAGATATCATTTAATAAAAAATCTATTTCCAAATAATTCTCCTCTTAAAAAAAATAAAAAAATGCGTCAAAATTATAGTTACTGGTTGTTGTAATTTGATCTTCTAGAGCTTTCTATCTCTCTCTCTCTCAATGACTTTATCTCTTTTTTTTAAGATATTTCAATACTATAATAATAATAATAATAACAATGATAAAATGAATTTGAGAATTAAAAAGTAAAAAACTTGAAAAAGAGTGATCAAATATGAAAAAAGTGAAACTTTAAATACCAACTTAACATCTCTACACCATCTGAAAAGTTTTTTAAAATTATTAATTTTGATCAATTTTAATTTTGAAGACAGCTTGCTTTTTTTGTAAAATTAAATTAAATTTAATATTAAAATATTTAATAACAGATGAAACACACAAGAACATATAAATTGAAGCACGTAACAATAAATAAAATCACGTCAACATGACTTGTATGAATGTAATTGAAAAAAAAAACAAAGTTTAATAATTAAGATGAAAAAATGTCAAATTTTTGAGCTACAGTAGATTAATTTTTTCTCCAGATTTTTTTTTTTTAAATCCTGAGTAAACCGAGCATAGCCCTCAAACTTTATTTTTTATTTTTTCTAATTCGACTGTCATGGTATTTTTTTTATCATTTCGTTTATGTTTCGTCCTTCAATCTACTTTAACATTGGGGCTGATAGTTTTAGTTTAAAAACGTGGCATGAATTCTAAACACATGGAAGATGACACTTGTCTTGAAAAATAAAACAATGATAATACAATTAATTTATTCGCTACAATTAAAAATTATTTTAAGAAAAACAAATTTCAATTTGGGTTATTGTTTCATGAAAACACTTTTTTATAAACCATGAACTTTTTTATATTTATTTAACTTTATGAAAGACGATCAATAAGAAGTGATTTTCAATCAACATCAGGACTTATACCTTCTTGAAGAAAAATGAATTTCTTCTCTCAGCTCTAGAAAACACTTTCTAATCTCTAACAAAAAAAAAAAAACTAAATTACTTTTAAAATCAAAATTTATTAAACTAGTATTCAAGGTTTTTTTATTTTGTATTTTCATACTGTGTTTTTAATAACAATCAAGTTGATTTATGATAAATTTAGTATTTTGATAAATATAAAATACAATTTAAAAATAAAAATATTTTTTTCCCTCTATTGATCTCGTGTTTCAGGCATATTGAAGGGTCTTTTGGGGTATTTTAGCTTTATAAGACGTTTTTAAGTGCAAATAAGTCAGAATTAGACTTTTTGACATCTAAATACATTGTACCTTGACTTATTGGCCACTAAATGTGAGAAATTGAACTGAGGATGACATGTTTGGAATTAAAAAAACATGAGGACGACGTGGCGATTCAATGATATATATTTTAAAAAAAATTATTCTTTTATTTTCTTATACCACAGCATTAGAATTCCTACAACATGCTTTTTTAAAATAAAAAAAAATCCTTTTCACATGGTGCTAGGTTTTAATTTTTTTAAAAATATTGTTATGGAAAAAAAGATATGTTTTTTCTAGAAAACAAAATGACTAATGAAAGAGGGCTTTGGATTTTTTTCTCATTAATTCAAATTACCTGAATTCTTGTTAATGCTTATTTTAATCGTGTAAGGTTTTCATTTGAAAAAATCATATTACATGAAAAAATATTTTCCAAGCTCAAGTGGTATCTCTCCAGAATCCCGAGCTTGTTTATCCTCGAAATGGACTTGGGAATGCAACCACTTAAATTATCCTGGGACAAGTCCCCGCGTGTAAAATAAAGGGCTTTCACATTTGGTATGTAAACAAGCATCCGATAATGCTTTCGACGGGAGTGATTAAAAAAACTAACAAACTAAGAAAACAAAATAAAAGATTCAAAAAACCAAACAAAAAAAACTGAATTAACTAATTAAAAAATAAAAAAAAAATAGGTTCAATTCAGTTTTTAAAGTTTAAAACTGATAAAACTAAATTGGTTCATCCTAGTCTAGTCAGCACCTAAAAAAACAAGTGTATATATAATGTTTTTTCTAACTTTAAACCCAAAGTGGCATTCCCTGACCATTTGCTCTCTGCATTTTTTCCTTCCCTTTACCTCTGCATCTCTTATTATATGGATCTTAACTAGCAAGCTCCCCTCTCGCAAAAGCACACATATAAATACTTACTTGATGAACCTCCTAGACTTCTCCTCAGCTTTCTTTTTTTTTCCTTCATCAAACTCGAACACATTAAATTTTCAACTCCAACAAGCTATAACTCACTTACAAGGAGCCTTTTCTGTTGTTATCAAAGCTTTCATGAAAAAAAATACAAGGTTGTAACCCCAAAAATTAATGCTAGTTATTATTAAATGGAATACTCCTAGCACAACAAAGAGAGATGTTGCAACAACAAAAAAATAAGGCATTCCTCTACATGCAAAAGCTTGTATCATGATTGATATCATGAAAAGATGTTTATAGGCATCAAAACAAGTCTTCTTGACAAGATTGGGCTGTTAAAAATAATTTTTTTTTAGAATTTGAGAACTGCTTATACCAAAACTGTTTCATTTTTTAGATTTTAAAGTTAGGGAACCGACCGGTTTGGAAGGAAAAAAATCTTACAGAACCAAAACTAGCTAGTTTAAACTAGTATTTAGTTCGGTTCAGCTCAAAATTTTGAAAAAAATAATAACCTTGAGTTAGTTATTTATTTTGATCGAGAACTGGACTAAACTGAAAATGCCTAGCCCTAGTTTGATTGGTTATGTTTTGAATTTATTACTTAAGAGTTACTAGTTCGAGTACTGTAAATTTTTTGGATGCTTACCTGATCTTTAATTTCAGAGCATCGAAAAATTAATTGAAGTGTACATAAACTAATCCAGACACCTACAATTATATAAAAAAAAATATTGCTTCAAATATTCAAAACTATTAAGTTTAGTGTGTGTTCGACAATGTGTTTCAAAAACGTTTTTGAAAAAAAATATTTTTTAAATTTTAAATTAATATATTTTTTATGTTTTTAAATCATTTTGGTATATTAATTTCAAAAATAATTTTTAAAAAATAAAAAATATTATTAATATAATTTTTTAATTAAAAAATATATAATTATAACCACATCCTCAAACACACACCATAACTCGACATTCTTAATTCAATATTGCTATGGGAAAAATTCAAGCATCTCAAACTAGACAAGGGATCCATTTTTGCTAGAACATGTTCAGTAAGATTGTTCCTTTAGCCCTACAAACAAGGCTTCCCGCATGCCCAAATCATCCCTTGAATTTGAGAATTTAGGGCGCAAGGGTCAGGATCTATAAAAGAAAAGAGAAAAGTTGAAAATGGTGGCCAGGTTTTATTTTTTAATTTAATGATAAAGTTGCAACATTTAAAATAAAAACTTTTTAGTTATTAAATAAATTACAATGGTAAATTTGCAAGAAATGAGATATATTTTGTTGTTTTTTCAGAAACATATCAAGGTGGTGGATGTCATTGAGGTTGAATTGTACTTTTTTTTAAAATCAAT